GCGTGGCGTGCTTCCGCGCGCGTAATATATGCTTTCAGTGTTATGTGCGTGCGTTCTCGCGCGGGTATAGGTACCTGTTAGTGCAGATGCCGTGCTGCTCGCGCGTAATATACGCTTCTGTTTATGTGCGTGGTTTCGCGGGCGTGAAGTATCTGTTGTGGTGCGTGCGTGCTCGCGCGGTATATAGCTTCTGTTATTGGCTGTGCGTGCTCGGCGCGTAGAGGTATCTGGTATGGTGCCGTGCGTTCTCGCGGGCATATAGGTATCTGTTATGTTCGTGCGTGCTCAGCGGGTATATAGGCTATCTGTTATGTGGCGTGCGTGCTCGGGGCGTATCGCCTAATCTGGTTATACGCGTGCGTTCTCAGGGGCGTATAGTGACCTGTTATGTGCGTGCGTTCTCGCGCGGCGTATAGGTGACGCTGTTTGTGCGTCGCGTGCTCGCGCGCGTATAGCTTCTGTTATGTGCGTGCGTGCTCGTGCGCGTATATAGCTATCTGTTATGTGCGTGCGTGCGTTCTCGCGGGCGTATAGCTATCTGTTATGTGCGTGCGTGCGTTCTCGCGGGCGTATAGCTATCTGTTATGTGCGTGCGTTCGTGCTCGCGCGCGTGAGTTTTGAACTGCTTTACTTGAAGAACGGCACGTTGAAAATGCGTGTTTAGAACTCCACGATAAAATGCGTGTTTTTCCATCGTTTCCAACGCGTGTTGGATACGACACGTGTTGACTTGGCCGGCTGGGTATTAACCTGCGCCAGTCTGCAAATTTTCACGTCTCTATATCTTTCGTGAACGGAAATATTGCTAAGTTTGTAATTTTTATGGCGGCTATTTTGAATCCAAGATGGTGGCCGAAACCCTTGGATCACATGCATCACGTTGTTTTATGAAACAGTAACCCCAATTACGTCTGTCAGTCAATTTTCAAGTCTGTACGAAGATTATTAACCGAGATATAGCTATTTTTTAAGAAATGACGGCGGCCATTTTTGAATTCAAGATGGCGGCCGAAGTTGTAGTTGGATCGCGTGTGTCCTGTCTTTAAATGAAAGAGCATACAAAAGTATGCAAGTGTACCAATTTTCATACTTTTTTTCACAATTTGAACGATTTTTTCTAATCTACTGTACTATGCGAGGGAAAATTGTTCGAGAAAGGAGCGTAATTGAACGGGAGTTAATTGTCCGGTGGTTGTGCGAGGGGGAATTGTACGGGGGTAATAGTCAGGTGGTGATTTTCTGGGGTCGGTGAGGGGAGGGTAATTGTATGGGGGTAATAGTCAGGTGGTTATTCTAGAACCTATACATATACACATATATAATATATTACTATTTCAGGATTGTGCTGTTCCAAATTAATACTAATACAAACTAATGTAATGGAATGGAAAATATAGATGCAACTTTTACATACTACTACTATAAACTACTAATACTTACAAAATCATTTGTCTCACAAATTCCGTGTGTGCGCGCAACAGAAATAACCGTGAATATAAAATCACAGACAACATTGTAAGATAATGGCTGCTCAAGAAATGCCACGCCAGCGTCAACACACACAAATTCACAGCTTCAGCGGTCACGTGACCAAGCGGCTTCTTTGCATGTAATACACATCACACGCTCATTTAGTATCCACTGTAGACAACACGGATGCTCGCACGCCACACGCACGGACGCACGCACGCGCGCGCACGCACGGACGCACACGCGCGCACACACACGCGCGCGCACGGATACACACACACGCGCGCGCACGGATACACACACACACGCACGTACGAGCGCACGCACACACACGTACGAGCGCACGCACACGCACGTACGAGCGCACGCACACGCACGTACGAGCGCACGCACACACACGCACGCACACACGCGGGCACTGACGCACACACACGCGCGCACACACGCACGTACGAGGGCAGCACACACGCTACATATGGTAGGATTAAGAGATATATATATATACATATATATGCGTGTGTGCGCGCGCGCGTATGTGTGTGTGTGCGTGCGTGTGTGCGCGCATGTGTGTACGCGCGTGGGCACATATATGTGTGTATATAAAACCCAATCAATTGTGTAATATAATTACACTGGCATTTCAAGTTGACCTTACGGAGTCACTTTATTGTCGTGTACAAATGTACGTATCTTACATTTTATTGGGAGCTCCGCGCTTAGGCTTGCCTATATATATATATATATATTATATTACAACATGTATGTGAAAATCTCTTGTCTTCGAAAAGTTTTTATCTTGGTGAAAGATTCTACAACCCACAGCAAAACTGGTTATGTTCCTTAGAGTGATTTATCATGACAAACTGACAATATATAGGTAATTTATTTCCACACGAAATGCGGCCGGTAACGTACAATGCTTCCCACCAGTATAACATAACTGTTTACCAGGATTCACACATCTACTCGTAACTCAACAGCGGCGATGCATAAGCCATGGAGATTCACGCGAGGCGAATATGCTTGGAGCAAAAATAGAGGTGACGTATAATAAGAAGACGTCCCATCTCACCACACACTCCAAACTACATTGGACTCTTAAGCCAAATCTGTAACTGCTTTGTGTGGTCATGGTCAGTGTGATTCTGTAGAATATGAGTGCAGAGTGTCCCCCACATGGTACAATCACTTAATTGATACACCTCTCGAATAAATAACTCCATGATTTACAACCTCAATAAATTACCTAAGAGCTATGTTAAAAAATAGAATATTCTGCTGAGGAAATCTGATGCAATAAACACAAGAGCATGGTTATACACTACTCCCTACTACTGTACACCTGCGTGCATATAGAAATACAATATTGTGTAGCAATGCACCTGAAGACACCGATGAAATAATAGGACAAAACTGCAAACGTGAAAAAATAAATTAATCGATTTCTGAAAGTTGCTGTCCATAATTAAGTCCTACAACATATTCTATGCTCCATATCCATTTAAAAAAAGTTATAGTGCCCAACCGAATCATGAATCACAAAGATGCTGACATACTATTCGTCACACGTTCCTGTTAACACAGCACATGTCTAAAATAAACTCGTTTACAATAAATTTACACAACTTTTTTCATAAACGTGGAATGTATGTTGACTACAATACGGGTCAGCAACAAACTGAATCGTTCACGACCGCGTGGAAGGACAACCAAGTGAGAAAACGCATTGGACAGTCAAGCATATTTTAGTTTGTTCGATTTCAAAGCTTTTATATACAATTTTAAAGAATCACAGCATATAAATGGAGATCACATATTTGACATCCCATCACACGACGCGAAAACATTGCAAAAACTATACATGCATACACAAAGCAATTCAAACATATCAGAGAACTACACACGCTTCATCTACGATACCCACCAAACAATACAATCCTTGGAACTAACGTGGTAAACGAGCACACCTAAAGTTTGTCTGATCAGAGTCAATAATGACAACGAAACGGGTGACTAGATGCGTAACTACATGATATCGTTTTACGCAAAGCTCAAATTGGCGCATTGGTGCCACCAATTTATGACCAGAATTTTCTATGCCCATTTTAAACACACTCGGAGCACATTAGAATTCACGTTAATTTACTCCTGATGGCATCATAGTAATACGAAAGGCTACTGACAAGTGTTAGACCAACCACCAGCTTTTCTGAGAAAGCCATGAATAACATATGAGTGTGTAATGAGGTCATTATGATGCGCCTGTAGATCTGTCTATTATAATCAACTGTATATAGTGAACAAGTAAATTACTTCAGCTCTTATGCTCACTAATAAAATACATGTCGCAGAATAATTTCTCTGTACGGTTGCAGGCATAAACACTCAGTGTGTACACTTATCACAATAACCTTACCGCCTATAAAACATTCCAGAGAAATGAACGTGTGATAACAAAGCCAGCCTTTCTGACACTGGGATGTCAAAGCAAAGGTTAGGAGATTAGCTCTAGTCTACATCTTTCCTTGGTGCACTGTGCCATATTTTGTCTCACGTGGTAAAAACGCCAGGTGGCATCCCCACAGATGTCAGTAAGGCTCATAGGGTCTATGTCCCCCAGGGTACTGCCGGGTACCCTGGTCAATATTTGATAGGGTTAGGATTAGGGAGTAGGCGTAGGCGACTCCCTAGACTCGTTAGTGGAATAGGCGAGGTACGGTCCGGCATATTAGATAGTACCAGGGTACGTTCCGGTATACCGGACCGTACCCAGGGTACGTTTCGGCAGTACCCCGGGGGACATAGACCCTCTCAGCGTCAGTAAGCCCGCTAAGGCTGACACACGGAGACATAAGAAGAGAACCAGTAGAAATGGGCAAATGGGCTGTTTAAATATAGGTTGTCGTGTGATATACGATATATATAGTTGGTTTTAAGTGTTGCATTATTTATTGCTCAATTAGATCATGAATTATAAAGGCAATGTTCGTTGTGTACGGAATATCGTTTCTTCTGGCATTCATAGAGTCAACTCTGTTCATAACGAACACAGGAAATTCCAAAAGGTCATTTTATATACAGGTGTCTAGGGAAAAAATTTCTTTTTTCACGGGAGCTCTTTTTCAAGTCTGTGGAAAAAATAGCTCTTGTCAAAAATTTTACTGGTGCTATTTTGAGCCTCACGGGAGCGATTTCGGAGGTTTGAAAAGCGAATCGCTCATCGCTCCCGTGTATTTTTTACCCTGCCTGAGGTGTCCATTCTACTGAGGTATAGCTGCACTATATAATTGCCACTCAAGAGAAATCCCAAAAGTGTCATTCACGGGGAGATGTTATCTTTATAGATACAACCACTAACACAACTTTGGAACAACAGCGAGCCTTACTTTATGGAACGAAAAAACTGAAAGCAACACTCAAAACACCAACTTTCTTCCTACTGCAATCTACCCATATCTCCTACGTGCCAGACTTCTACTGCTCATTTTTGTCATCTATGGTGCTGCAACGTGGTGCTACTTTGTAGATTTTTTAGATTGTGTAGGCTGCACCTAGGAACACAGGCGACCACCACCGTTACAATCGCCGGGGTTAGTGAATGACTGCATCGCGAAGATTGAAGCTCGTCAAACCGTCCATGATACGAGACGCAATCGTCGCCACGCGGCTCACGTTCCATGCTCACGGCACGTCATGGAAGACGGTATTCTCATCCCCGACGCCGGCATCCTCGTCTTTCACAGCCGAAGCATCCTCGTCTTTCACAGCCGCAGCATCCTTGTCCTTCACAGCTGCAGCATCCTTGTCCTTCACAGATGCAGCATCCCCATCCTTCATAGCCGCAGCATCCTTGTCCTTCACAGCCGCAGCATCCTTGTCCTTCATAGCTGCAGCATCCTTGTCCTCAGGATGCTCCTGCGCCAGGCACGCCTGCAGGCCAGAGCAGTAGTGCAGCAGCATCAGCGCGAGCGCTTGCACCTTGTCGTCAGATTTCCTCGCAGCCTCCTTCAGCTGCTCCTGCGCGCGAGGGTCGGTGACGCCACGCCGCGACCGCCTCACATCCTCCTGGTGATCCGTCTCCTTCTTCATCTCCTCCTGCAGCTGCAAGATCTGGGAAACGCAATTCGGAGTTCACGCGAAGAATGTTTAGATCGAAATTGCATGCATGGCAGAGCGTGTCTCTATATTTGTCATGGGTGGGGTGAAAACAACGTAATCGGCACATCAAAAATGAAAAAAAAAGCATTTCCATTTATGGTAATATATAGACAGTAGAAACATCATGTCATCACAAGAGTGAGGGCCCAATCAGTGGTTTTTCCTATGTTAGACACATATTGAGAAATACGGAAACTGTGTATGCTGACCTTTTATGTGAAAATTGAGGCGAAGTACTCAAGGCTGTGCTAACCTTCCAGCTACATGTTATTTGTTAATATGATCAGTTCTGCACTTTTCATGTTTTTCTTTCATTTTTATGTGACAATGTGACGTGTACAGCTGGTACAATTACACAACATGACAAACCTAGCAGGTAGAATGTACCTATTTTATTATTATTATTTATAACACTATATTGTACAATTATTTATTATTTATTACTAGATTTCGTATAACCAAGCAGCCGTAGTACACACTCACCCTGTTATTCAGCTTCTGCTTACGTTCCTCCTGTGGCAGGTTGCAGTGTAACTCCTTTCCCATCTCCTTGGCAGCCGACGCCAGCAGTTCACTGTTGGGATCGTTGCCCTGAATTGCCATCAGCTTGTGTATGGCTTGCTGAATTTCCTCTTCAGTGCTGTCTTCCCGCTTAACAAGAGGCACCGGCAGGAAGGTCTGCACAACAACATGACACCAGAGGTCGCCACATGCACCCATACACCACGGCGATTTAAAAAGGCAGCAAATGAATACTATTCTTTTCTACATTTTATTAAATAGTTAATTAAAGTAAATTAACAATATTTGTGAGCCGAATTTTAAGCAAAAAGCATTTCCACTCCGAGCAAACGTACTAGAGCAAATGTACTAGAGCAAATGATCCACTTTTTACACAATTTACACTCGTCCACTAGGACCAGGTCAGACAATGCTAGCTACCTTTCGCTTTGTGATGGGAGAACATAGAGGTGACGGTGGCAAGCTTTTAGATATATTCCTTCTTCTATCAGGTGGCGTTAGGCTGCAGAACGATCCAGACCGAGTGATCCTGCAAGCAATTTAGAACAACGAGCTACAATGAAGCACGTATGTGCGTGCGTGCATGCGTGCGTGCGTGCGTCCGTGCGTGCGTCCGTGCGTGCGTGATTATTATCATTGGCAGAAGTTGGATGAGTTGTTGGTTTCTGGATACTTTTAATTTATATTTAAATCAGCTGATTGCTGAACAATGATTATGTAAATATCATGGCTGCAAAGCTTCTACACACTTGGTGATTAAACAATCAAAATCCAACCGATAGTGCTAATCAAGTCATCCATTACATTCTGTTCATGACATTTCTTAAATTTGTACAAATTATACTATTTGTATACCCGACACACTATAGTGACTTATTGTTTAATTCACTGCTTTAAAATACTAAGTTTACTAGTTTACTAATTTTGAAACTGGTGGCATGTGCCAACATGATACAACATCTGTTATAATTAATATAATAAAAAAATCCATACGTGCGTATTCAAACGTATATATGTTATAGGTGTTATGTTATATTTATTATTATGTGTTATAGATGATATATAAATATGTTCATATTCATGTACACTGTGATGAAGCTTCATGTATATATACCTCTCCGGCACCACCTCAGCCAGGAGGCTGCCCATGCTGGGGACTCTTCGTCTCCGCATGACGGGCGAGTCCATTGGAGTGTCCAGAGGAGTGCTCTCTGCAGAGCTAGTCACTGGGCTCACATCGTCTGCATGCGTCGCTATGACGACCGGTGGAGGCTGGGTAATGCCACCGGTGCTGATGCAAGCTGCAGGAGCCGCTGAGGTTTGGTTACGAGCTCGCAGACTGAAATGCAGCGTGAACATGGACATCGTTTTAAACGTTTACACGTGGAATTACGTGTCCGTACAAATGACCGTTTCGTGTACACATAACTGCAGCAATAACTTGTTATCACAACTTCAAAGTACGTAATATTGAAAGTTAACTACCCACCCTAATCGAGCATACATGTATATCAATACAATCAAACAAAAATACAATAGTTTGATATTTGATGTTTACCTGCTACAGACAGTTTGCGACTGGCATCTGAGCAAGCACTTCTTGTGGCATATCATAGCACAAGCTCTACACTGGAATGCGACCTTCAGCCATATCTAGAAAATTGTATTCCTGCTTTAGAAACATTTACGTATTACATGTACAATGTATACTATGTTATTTATATCAAACTATGTCATAGCCATAAGATTCTCGATATAACTCGAGAAAATGTTTTAATAATATCTCGTCTATGTGGTGTCCCTACCTACCTTACTTCCCTACGAGTGTGCATGGGCACAATTTTGTTCCCCCTGACCCCAATTGTTCCCAATTTTGTTAGCTGACTTTACCTATCATCACTACCTATCTTGTGCAACTAATTGGGATAATTTTCCTCACATACCTTTCGATAAACATTCTTTGTAACAACAATCTTGGACAACCAACGAAGTTTACCTTTTATATTGAAAGTTAAACTTACCCTTTTGCCACAGAAGTGACAAGCAGTAGAGGAGTGAAACTGAGTTCCAATGAAGTCGTGTTTCCCGCGCAGTTCCTGATCACTAAAACCAGAGTAAAGTCAATCAAATTTTAGTACAATAAACCACAACAGGATTTGCTCTGCATTCGTTTTGATCTATGATTAAACAACTGAACCAAGAGAACATTAGAAACTCTGTCACAAATCCATACTGTATATAATATATATATATATATATAAAGTCTAGCATCTAGCATACATACATATACATATATATATATATATATATGTATATATATAGATATATAATAGTGGGAGGCAACATAAAAAACCAATGGATTTATATTTATGCTTCTTGGTATAATGCAGATGGATGACACACGTTCATACCATATGGTGAGTGATCATGCCAAATACTATTAGCTGATCTGACTAGGACAACTTAGTTATTATAGCTAAGTCAACTCTATACGTCACCCACTTAAGTGGGGGACATGCTCCTGAATTTCAGCTGAGCTGATCTGACAATGTCAGACCAACTAAAAATCATGATCATCGCACCAGTTACATTGGACTCGACACAACAACTAAAGATAACAATGAAAGTGTCAATGACACTGTAGCTCACCTTGGGTGTGATAGAAGAGGGAGGGGGATATCATAAAGCAAGAGTATATATGGGAGAACTCCCATTATATTAGCATATCTCCCCATTTATATTACATCTTGATAATGATATATGCATAAGTTTTGATGGCGAAAAAATAAATGTTTCAGATCTGAAAGTCTGAAATCTTGACGAGAGATGGCGCTACGCCTAAATGATCGCCATTTTGGTTTTCGAATATACGCCCAAATAAAAAATAATAAAATATTCCAGTCAAATTACTACAATGAAGAATCTAAAACAACAATATTAAACGTATATAGGTTATATTGTAGAGTTGTTAACCAGTTAGACGAAATAAACGTAATAAGACGTTGTCATCTTCTCCATAGGAGTACAACTGTTTTGGGCATAGCCTTAACATCTCACACACGAAAATTAACAAAATCGAATGAATTTAGATGCCATTTTCATTTTTGCCAAAAAAGTAGGGTGTGGCTCAAAAGTAGTCGACTGGCGTGCTCCAAAATAGGACGTTCAATCTCTCCCATAGAATAACAACTGTATGCAATTTGAAACATGTGCTTGAAGGGTTCTTGAGTTATCGTTGACCGTAAGCAGACACTGAAATGCATAGTGAAATTTCCAAAATCTACCAATTTACATAATAAAAAATAAATAAAAACCAGTGTGATATGTTTTGGGGCCAGTCCTTACATCTCACATACTAGAAATGATCAAATCTGTTGAACCTGAACTGACTTATGGCCATTTCCATTTTGGCCAAAAAGTGACGTGGCTCGAAAGTAGGTCGACTGACATGCTCCAAAATAGGACGTCAAATCTCTCCCATAGGAATAACAACTGCTATGCAATTTGAACATGTAGGTCAAACCGTTCTTGAGTGCCTCCAAAATAAGACGTTCAAACCTCTCCAATAGGAGTAACAACTATATGCAATTTGAAACATGTGGGTCAAACTGTTCTTGAGTTATTGTTGACCGTAGCAAAGTTGACGGACGGATGGACAGACGGACGACGAAGGACGGACGGCTGTACGACGGAACACACCACCATGGCAATAGCTCATCTTGACGATGTCAAGGCAAGCTAAAATTGAAACCATGATCAATAAAAATTGTGTCATTTTCCCTTGATGATAGTTATAGCAGCAAAACAACTCTATCGAATGCACATGATCTAATCTAAGGCAACTTTTGGAATTTCGATTGAATGGCAGTTACACGTGAAAGCACCTTTATAGAGCACACTCAGTGTAAGGATCACTCCACCTGAGTGACCTTTAATACAGGTTTGACTGTACTAGTTTTTCACGCAAAATCACGATTGTACTGAGTTACATGCGAGCTCCAACAAAAATTACGTTTGCGCCGCACCAGCCGATCACTCAGCTACGCTGCATGACACGGCAGCTTTAAGGACAAACAACCACGACGCTGGACAACCGAAGAGCAGGGTGATACGCCATTAGGAGTGTTCCAACTTTATGTCATGTAATGCATAATAACAATAATAATATATATGGTCATAATATATTTGTGTTCAATGTCAATTAAGGTTAAGGTAGGTTAGGGTTTAGGGTAGGGTTCGGTAGGATTATCAATCATTAATCATAATCATTAATGATATCAGAGTTTGGGAACACTCCTAAATGGAGCGTTACCCCGAAAGCAGGCACCTTGGAGGGATTTCCTGCCTGGCTGCCAATGATGATAGTGTCTTCCCCTGCATCATCCTCGGTGCCGAAATCCGTCGGATTGATCGTCGCGAAGCCGCCGTGCTGAAACGTCTAGCGTGATATCGGCCATCAGCAGAGGCTGGGGTCGCGCCAGGATCTGCGACGAGATTCTTGCTGCGCTAAACACAGACGAATGGATGGACGACTGGGTCACAACTGACTGTGCGGTAGCGCGAACAAGCCACGCATGCTCGCGTGCACAAACGGCACATCTACCTATGCTACATGTATGCATGCACATATAATAAAGTGTCATAATGACACTGTAGCTCACCTTAGGTGATAGAAGCAGAAGGGGATATATAAAGCAAGAGTATATATGGGAGAACTCCGCAATATATAGCATATCTCCATTATATACTCTTGAGATAATGATAATGCATAAGTTTTGATGCGAAAATAAATGTTTCAGATCTGAATCTGAAATCTGATGAGAGATGGCGCTACGCCTAAATGATCGCCATTTAGGTTTTCGAATATCGCGCAAGTAAAAAAATAATAAAATATTCAGTCCAAATTACTGTAATGAAGAATCTAAAAACACAATATTACACGTATATAGGTATTATGTAGAGTTGTTTAACCAGTTAGACGAAATAAAACGTAATAGGACGTTGTCATCTCTCCCATAGGAATAACAACTGTTTGTGGGGCTATAGCCTTACACATTCACATACCAAAGATTTAACAAAATCGAATGAATTAGAGGCCATTTCATCTTTTGCCAAAAAAGTAGCGTGGCTCGAAAGTAGGTCGACCGGCGTGCCTCCAAAATAGGAACGTTAAATCTCTACATAGAGTAACAACTGTATGCAATTTGAAACATGTGGGGAAACGTTCTTGAGTTATCCTTGACCGTAGGCAGACACTGAAATGCATAGTGAAATTTCAAAATCTACCTAATATTTGCATAATTAAAAAAAAAATCAAAAACCTGTGTGATATGTTTGTGGGGCCAGTCCTTATTCATTCACATACTAGAAATGAAGCAAAATCCGTTGAAACCTACGACTGACTTATGGCCATTTCCATTTTTGCCAAAAAGTGGAAGTGGCTCGAATGTAGGTCAACTGGCGTGCTCCAAAATAGGACGTTCAAACCTCTCCCATAAGAGTAACAACTATATGCAATTTAAAACATGTGGGTCAAATAGTTCTTGAGTTATCGTTGACCATAGCCAAATGTTGACGGACAGATGGACGGACGGACGGACGGACGAACGGACGACGGTCGACACCCCATGGCAATAGCTCATCTTGACGATGTCAAGGCAAGCTAAAAACACAGACAGTCACTCAGGATAGACTGACGTGCACTGGATGACTCAATGAGAAGGTTAACACACACACACACATACACACACATGAATTGATGACTCGGCAAGAAGTCCAACACACAGATAGTTTACTTAGGGAGTAATTTAACACACTTATGGAAAACATACGGTTGAGCATAACACACTGCATGTGGCAGTTACCATATTACCAAACTACCTACTTACCTACCTACCTAACTACCTAACTACCTACCTTGCACCTGGTCGCAGTTCTGGCGGAAGCAAGCTATAGCTATCTTGGAATGTAGCGGACCTCGTCAGAGCACATTCAAGTGCTATATCTATCAAAGCTACTGTTTGCTAAAGCCAGAGAAAAAAAACACTATATTAGGTTTATGCTGATACTAATTAACAAATCACTGAAACAAAATTCCCTTAACTTTCACAGGTATATAAGGTAGAAGCATTACTATACCTTGGATGAATTAATAATATAGCACCTGTAGCAAGTGTAGCACTTTGTAATCACTGCCAGGAAGTACTTTTATTAAAATTTCATCTGGCAAGGCCACGTAAGATACAAGGGTAATTTGCACGTAAAATTCTTACAGTATAAAATCTTCAAGAAAGAATTTATATTCTAGTTTACTCGTGATTACATTATGCACTATTTAGACTATTGTATATATAACATTATTCAAAGATATATATCTGTATAGAGCTTTTTCTATGAGAAATTGCAGGATCATCAATACTAATGCCAAAACCAACACTCACATGTCCAAGAAGAATGTCTTTCTCAGGCTTCACGACCTTTTCTGTCCTCTCGGTTCTCTCGGGGTTCTTGCACCAGACGCACACATTGAGGTAGCGATGGTCCGGACACACGTTAAACACAAACCTCTCATTCCATTCGATGTCCTGAAACAACCCTTCCTTTAATTTAGATCCTTCAGAAGAAAAGAGGCTCTTCCTATTCATGATTTAATTTTATTTATATCTACGTAGTTAACATATTAGCAACTGTTTTGACAACTAGACTAGTCGTCTTTGCCAAGCTCAGTAAAGTTGCTTCGGCTTGTCACCAGATGGCAGTAAATGACAATAACTATAAATAAATTCAGCTGGTGCTGGTAGCTAGTAGTCCGTCATTCCCCTGCTAATCATTACTCACACACCTTGGTAGCGGTGTTGGCCTTTACTCTATCCAGGGGTTTCTTTGCAGCTATTTCTATCTTGGTTACTATCCTTATCTTTATCAACTACATTCAGAGGTATGTACGTACGCACACACGCACACATGCACGTTCACTCACACAGACAGTCCAGGGGCAGATCCAGAGGGTTTGGGTAACCAGTTTCCATAGTTCTAGTCACAGCTAGGAGGGTCCGAGGGCATGCCCCCCCGAAAATTTTTTAAAAATTAGGCTATATTTGGTGCATTCTGGTGAATTTTGAGGGTCAATTCTGAAGATACCCAGCCTGTGACCGGTTTCTGGAAACCGGTGCAAACCGGCCTAAATCCGCGCCTGCAGGCACACACGTACACACGCACATGCACGCACACGCACACATGCATGCACACGTACACACGCACATGCACACAGGTACACAAGCACATGCAGGTATGCACGTACGCATATGCCTGCACACACACTCACACGCATGCACACACAGGCACACACATGCACATACACACACCCACACATGCACGCATTCAGGCATGATAGATTGTTAGTGAATGTCCAGACTACACCGCGATAAAAAGAATGTCGGGTGCTGCCACCTTGTAGTACCTGCGCTGCAGCGACATATGACGTTTTTCTCAGGTCAACTCCAGATTTTTGCATTCGATCCGAAACCTCCGAGCTGATCAGTGCAAAATTGTCTGTGCTGTAGCTGGTGACGATGGCAGACGCATCCGGGCACGAACGACGCCGTGTCCTCGTGCTGCCATCTACAGGCGGTTCCAAGCTCTCGGGTAGCGTGAGTGTATCATTCTGACTAGCTATCATTTTCTTCGGCGAGTCTGCGAAGTGTTCACAAGGAATTTCACGGAGAGATTCTAAAATATTATACCTACCATGATATATTTCTCTTCTTCTGGGATAACATAAGAAATGAAATCATATCCTCTATAGCTGTCACACTAGAACCACATACGTTGAAGCAACAGTCAGCCAGCTCTATTTCTTAGTTAAACAACAAGACACTCAGCTCTCCTCTTCTTCCCTCAGACAAGAGCCACATTACCTTTTTTAGCAGAAGCAATAGCAGTCGATGCACACGTTGGAGTTTCTCCCACAACCTGCTTCTGCCGTTGAAACAAGCCAGTTTTCTGACTGAGGAACGTCAATGCCTTTCTGCCTCCTGCTGCCACTGCTGCCTGCCGGTCCCTACTCAAGCTCGTCTGTGCCACCTGTGTAATGTTCACTTGTTTATGATGCCATGCCAACATGTAACATATATTTCCTTGAACAGAGTCGTAAACAGTTACTATCATGGGTTAATAATGACATTGTTTAAATTTGTTTGTCATTATGTGTTTGTCACCGTTTGCCATTATTAACCCCTGTTACTATGAGGTTGTTCCCCGACTCAAGGAAACATCATGCCCACCTTGGTCGACGTAGTAGTAGTAGCATGAGGTGAGTAAGTGAGATGCTAGATGTTCTGTCATGACAGTATTTTGTAATGCTCGTATAGGTATTCTAAGTGATATAAATACACTTTTCACATGATGATCGCCAAATTGACTTTACCGCACATCATTACTGATCAGTATTTTTTAGAAATTCCCTATCATAATGCTAATTGGCAAGAGCTACATGTCACTCCAGGTGTTTAATTTAGCTCACTTTTTAACACAGCGTCGTCTTTTTAAGTAAATAAATAAGAAAAGTTACAAAAGTTAAGCAATTGATGAATAGCGTAGATTCTGATATAGTTCCGTCAACATTAGCCCTAGCTAGTTCATGTCAAGCATAGAATCATGTTGGTGATTAGACAAGTAAATGATACCTGTGGTTTTGAGGCCTGCTCCTCCATAGTGATGTTTAGAAGTTCCTCTGCTGCCTCTTCGACTTCTAGGGCACTGCGCCTACTGCCAAGTGATATGTTGTCAGTATCCTGAAATAGACATTAAACAAAGACATGATGTGAGGCACCTCTATTGGAAAAAAAAAGAAATCCCTCCAGGTTATATACATAATAATTAAAGGTAATATGTTGTTCATGCAAAGGAATTCCATGGCCTATAGTAGGAAACTTTCTTATTAACACTTAGCAGTACTGCTCTAACTCCATCATCCCCAGTTTCCTGCATGTACGCTGGACATACTGGTGCTACCTTGCCTGGTTTACCTGCGTGCACTTTCCATAAAGTAAATGTTGTATTTATCCCTTTGTGTCCCATTTAAGTGTTGCTAGAAAGAGTGGGAATGGGTACCATTTTTTAAAGGAAATGTCTTCTCTCGGTGTACCTCATGTATGATAACAGGGCCTACATGGAAACCAGCATTGTTGTTGTTTTGTAGCTACCCTGTTTTGATAAATAAAATATACTACTACTACTACTCCAGTACTCCTCCAACTTGCTGCAGCACCCTAAAATATCATTAAAGACAAACACATAGCTGCCTATAGTCATCAAAATACGACTGCCTGCGAGATCCCACCTTAATACGAAGGCTGGAATCGTCAGCATCCCTGCTTGGCATGTCCTGCATGGAGGAGGAACTTTGAACGATCGACTCCCTCTCTAGACGCATGGCACACCTGCAAACATGCCACAGCAACATTGACGCGATGCCAAGCTGGCTGAATGGGTGTCGAATCGAAATGCCTGTCGATTGACGAATCTTTGTATTTCGAAATGTCGAATCTTGAATCTTGTAATTTTACGTAATCTGAGCAATGTAATTAATCTAATTAACAATGAGCAACACTTGATTGACACGATGAAACAGACTACTTGTCCCAGCCGTGTACGTTGCTAAGCAGAGCTAGACACACATATATACTTATGAATCTCTCAGAAATACTCTCCATGAGTGCTTAAGCGCGTTTACATTGCATTAATTGCATTTTAAATTAATGAAATAAATATGATAGATTCCATTCATAGCAAGAAATATATGCTGCTCACCTTTCACTGGCATTGGCTAGCAGTTTGACTGCATGCTTAGTTGAGGTAACTTTTAAGCCATTCACAGACACTAGAATGTCTCCCTACAATGGATTTTGAAATGAGATTAAAATTCTAACCGTAGAATATATATAGAATTAGAGGTGGAACTAGGCACGGGAAGGGATTTTTTTAACCACTTTTATATGACTATCACTACTACTTCTATACCACTATAACTTCTCTACCACTACTACTATACTATCACTACTACTACTTCATTTTTACCACAATCACTACAGCTCCTATACCACTACCACCACTTCATTTTTACCACAATAACTACAGCTCATATACCACTACCACCACTTCATTTTTACCACAATCACTACCACTCCTGTACCAGCACTACTATGGCTCTGATGAAACCAAAAGCCGAATATTGCTACCTTACGGATATCAGCATTTGCAGCAGGCGTGTACGGTAGCACAGTGTCAACAACCACTTGCTCTTCATACTTATCTAAGTAAAACTCCTGTAACAGAAACGTCTACCCATGTAAAGTCACAACATAAAAACGCCACACAACGTGCAAGCACTAAGGAAGCAGTCTTGTTTTTCACGTTGCTCTTGATGCCATTCAATAAATAATAAATAATTATATTTTACAATAAGAACTCATGAATCATTAAAGCAGTCACGTGTTGATTACCTCAGATAGGATAATGCGCTAAGCAATATATACACATGATTCTCGCATGATACATTGTTTCAAACGTAAAAGGCGTTCTACTTTACACTAGATGTTTGAAAACTACACATATGTATATACCTTTTTTAATATAATTCCTATTTGCTGTCCAGATGTTTTTATGACTTCAGTATCGAACGTTATGTAGGCCCCATATGTTGAGCTCACTAACTCTATCCAGTCATCTTTGTCTGAAAAATCAGGTAATCAGCATTCAGCCCAGTCTAAACCAAACCTGTATATATATATACCACTCGGAAACCACGTAAGTGTCCTTTATAGACAGGTGTCAGTTCTATAAAAGAGGTTTCACTGTGTAACTGCCACTCAAGGGAAATGGCAAAACTTTTCTTTTATATATATATATATATATCTATCGACTGATCAGGGTCCTTTAAAATTTGAGAAGTCTGGTAACGTGGGTTTGACTGTAGCAGCACTTTAACATACGGCCAGTGCACATACAGTATATACAGCAGTACCAGGAACACACATAAACAATGACATCCTTGCAACAGCTACAGGTATAGTGAGTGATCTTTCATGTTCACTGCATAGATATGTTCATGGCAATACCTATGGCTAAGATTTATCATATATTTATATCTATATCTATATCTATATCTATATCTATATCTATATCTATATCTATATCTATATCTATATCTCTCTCTCCCTCTATGTATATATATATATATATATATATATATGACATAACATTTTATAACGAGAATTTAACGACGGTTAATAATGACATAAAAAAAAAGAAGATAAATTTGTCATTATTAACCCCCGATATATATATGTATATATATGTTTATTTATTTATTTATATATACTACACACACAGCAGTACACAGCAGTACCTATGGCCAGGGTGCAGTATATCTTTGCGTTTGGATGCGTCTTGACGATGCGGCTGCACTCGAGTACGGTGACCTCGAGGTTACCGACGCAGATGCGCGTGTGCAGCAGGTTGACGTCGGCAACGTGCAGCCTCCGCTCGTCTGGCTTCATAAAGAACGGCTTGTAGCGCATCTTGTAGTTGGGCAGCGTGTGCTTCTTTCTTACAGTCCTGCGCAGCTACAATGACGAGAGAGAGAGAAACAGACAGGTGTGTGAACTACAGGTACGTGGAACCCTAACATCCCTGTTATATAATAACAGTCCTGCGCAGCTACAATGACGAGAGAGAGAGAGAGAGAGAGAGAGAGAGAGAGAGAGAGAGAGAGAGAGGTGTGTGAACTACATGTACGTGGAACCCTAACATCCCTGTTGTATAATAACAGTGATGATGATGATGATGATGGAATGCATCTATGATGTTGGAAGAGGCAGGTATGTTAAACATTCTTACACATTGGTAGGCGAGACTGCTACTCTAGAAGATTGAGGGAGGAACAACAATCTCACCACGTAAATAAACCCTCTTACAGTCCTGCATAGATATTGCTATGATCACATACAGGTATAAAATGATGGGTACGCAGTAAAACTTCAACAACGCGTTTGTAAGGAAGTCATTGGACTTAACGCTGTAACGACGTTGAACTGTTTTAAATTAAAATGCTGGAAACTATGCTATGCATATATACGATTGATAGAAACTACAATACTTGTGTACATATGCTACAAATTATTACACATACATACATAGCTCTGCTAGAAACTATACTATGCATATATATCGCTGCTAGCAATCACGTACATGGGTGCAAGGATCTGTACTACCTAAAGCTGCATTAAAGTATCCTTTTTAATGGATGCACTATTAGTTATTAACACTGTGTATAAACACCTGTAAAAAGCTATACTACATTATATAAATATATATATATTAGTGATGTCACGATCATCGATTATACTCGATCATCGGTTGAACAGTGGCTCGAACCAAGCGCTTAGTGATGTCACGATCATCGATTATACTCGATCATCGGTTGAACAGTGGCTCGAACCAAGCGCCTGGTTATCAAAATCCATAATCGATTTAATCGGAAAAAAAAAAAAACACGGAAAAGTGATGAGAATCAGTACATGTATTATACACACAGTAGTAAACAGTGCAAAACAAACAGTAAACAGGGCTAAACAGGGCTAAACAAGCACATACATGCACACATGTACATGCACACGACGTTACGCACACGCAGGCATTCAACACCCCCAGTAACCGATTGTAACCGATCATCGGTTACTTGGGTCCAACCGATGATCGATTACGAAATTACAACCGATTGACAACACTAATGTTACTCCTATCGTTGCTTATCCGCACGTCGCGCCGGACCTTGCCATGCCGCCGAGAAACAATAGTCACAAACTAAACCCTCGACCCTCCTTCTATTCCCTTATTCTTTCTTCCTCTCTTCTTCCTTTCCCCTCTCCCCGTCCCACTCCCAATCGGTTAACCATTAGCTAACAGCGACTGACCGCGATCGAGCGCACACGCTGACCTGACCTTCTCCTGACCTGACCTTCTCCTGACCTGACCTTCTGACCTGACCTT